GCTGTAATGTGTGTCTGTGTGACCATCGCCTGTGGGACTGGTCCCAGGGCAGGGCCCGGCTGTAATGTGTGTCTCTGTGACTGTCACCTGTGGGACTGGTCCCAGGTCAGGACCCAGCTGTAACGTATGTCTGTGTGACTGTCACCTGTGGGGCTGGTCCCAGGGCAGGGCCCAGCTATAACGTGTGTCTGTGTGACCATTGCCTGTGGGACTGGTCCCGGGTCAGGGCCCGGCTGTAACGTGTGTCTATGTGACCATTGCCTGTGGGACTGGTCCTGGGTCAGGGCCTGGCTGTAATGTGGGTCTGTGTGACCGTCACCTGTGGGACTGGTCCCGAGTCAGGGCTCGGCTGTAACGGTGTGTCTGTGTGACTGTCGCCTGCAGGGCTGGTCCCGGGGCAGGGCCTGGCTGCCGTGCTGAGGACCCTGCCAATGTTCCATGACCAGGACTATGCCGGCCAGCTCCCTGAGGACACCCTGGTGCTGCCGTGAGTGTGGCCTGGGAGGTGCGGGGTGGGGCTCTTGGGCCAGGCTGCAGGGGAGGGAGCAGACCCGGAGAGCACCCAGCCCCTCAGGCCTCGTGTTCCCAGGAACGCATGTGGCGGTGTTCCCAGCAGAGCCTCTCAGGAGGTCCTTAACGTCCTCACACGCACACACGGGCTTTAGCCTGGACCCCCGGAGGCTGAGGGGGCCCTGGGCTAGCCCTGCCTGCCCTCTGCCCTCCAGCTCGGGCTGGCGCAGATTGGGGCATGGTCTGCAGCTGCGTGGGGACGTGCCCTGCCCAGGGACCCTGCCCCTCAGGGAGGCCAGGTGGGCCTCCTGTCTCCTGGGGGAGGCCCTCTGCTTTGGCTCTGGGCCCAGCTGCCCAGTGTCCATGAAATGGTGCTCCTAGACCCCCATGCACGGGACGCTCCTCCACGTGGCTCCGGGCTCCCCCAGGGCTCCCAGCCTCCCACTCAGAGCCAGGCTATGGGAGGCGACACTGTGGGGCCCTGTGACAACTGCCCCGGCCGGAGGATTTGTTTTGTAGAACACAGCCCCTGTCCCTGGGGCCAAGACCCTGCTCTTGGGGTGCTGAGAGCTGCTGGTTGAGGGGAAGCAGGGTCCCCAGCCGTGCCGCGGGGAGCAGTGCCACGGGCGTGTGGCTCCGTGCAGGGTGTGGAGAGGCCTGTGTTTCCTGCAGCCCCACTGGCTCCGACCAGAGCGTCATCTACACCGTGCTGGAATGGCAGCCCCTCTTTGACTCCAGTGACATGACCATCACCGAGTGGGTCCAAATTGCACAGACCATCGAGGTGTGGGGCTGGGGGGCTGGGGTGGGCGTGGCTGCGGGTTGGGGGCCGGCGGGATGGAGTGAGGCTGAGGGGATGGGTGGAGATGGGGTGGAGCCAGAAGCTCACAACTGCACCAATAAGCAGCATCGCCAAAAATGGAGGAATGATGAAAGTTGTCAGGAATCCCATTTTACTTGGGTCCACACTCAGTGTCCACCGAAGCGGCTGTCAGGAGCTCAAACATGCTGCGTTGGGCAAGCCTGCGGCCAAGAGAAAACCCAAAACCCAACCCCACTGCCATCTAGTCGATTCCGACTCAGCAACCCCTGTTGGGTTTTTGAGGGTAAATCTTTACAGAAATAGATTGCCCAGTCTTCTTCCTACAGAGTGGCTGGTGGGTTCGAACCACCCACCTTCTGACTAGCAGTCAAATGCCTGAGGCACTTTTTAAAGTGTTAAAAAGCAAAGATTGGCTCTGAAGGCTAAGATGTGCCTGCTCCAGGCCATGGTATTTTCAGTGGCCTCCTGTGCGTGTGAGAGCTGGACAATGAATAAGACAGACCGAAGAAGAGCTGATGCCTTTGAATTGTGCTGGAGAAGAACGCCGAAGTATCCCTGACCGCTAGAGGAGCGGGCACGTCGGTCCTGGAAAGGGAGCGGCAGGAATGCTCCGTGAGGGGAGAACGGCCTGACTTCGTTTCAGGTACTTTGGCCGTGTTGTCAGAAGGGACCTGTCCCTGGAGAAGGACATAATGGTCGGTAGCGTAGTGCCTAAGGCACCTGACTGCTCACCAGAAGGCTGGCGGTTCAAACCCACCAGCCACGCCTCGGAAGGAAGGTTGGGAATCTACTTCCGTAGTGATGACGCCTCGGAAACCCACGGAGGGGTCGCTATGAGCCGGGCCGACTCGGCGGCACACAACAACAACAACAACAACACAAAGTAGAGGGTCAGTGACAAAGAACCCTTGGCGAGGTGACCTGCACATCGGCCGCAGTGATGGCGTGGCAGGGATTGTGAGGGCGCCACCGGGCCCCGCAGCGTTTGACTG